ATAAAAATTAATAAGTCAAAATAATTTATAAAATTATTTAAATATTTTTAATAAATGTTACTTACATATTAATTTATTAAAATATTAAATTTTTATTAGAAGTATTTAAATTATCTTATTATCTATTATTTTAATTATTATAACACCTTTATTTAAGAAACTAACTTTTTTTTGTTGTCGGCTACAAAACTATTTTCGAGAAAACTTAGGTTGTAAGATTTATGGTGTTCTTCCATTAGAAGTTGAAAATTTCCTCACTTATGTGACCTATGAATAAAAATTTAATAAAAATTATTACCTATTTAGTATTTACTATAAAAAAAATTGAATGCTCTTAAAATTTATAAAACATAAAATATTATTTGCTTCAATAAAGGAAAATCTAGTTATCAATAAAAGCAAATGGCAATAATTAAAAAAAGTATTTTCCTTTCAGATCTTAGATCTAAATTTCTAGTAATAATAATAAAAAAAAACAAAAGGGTAAATGCCGATTTTTATTTTTGAATACAAATAAATAAGCTAAAACCCTTTTCTTCTTCTTCCAATAAAAAGAAATTAAAAACCCAAAACCCCATCTCCCTCTTTCGAGATCTTCTCTGTAATTTCCCTCTCAAACAACTCACCTCTCCCTTCCCTTCCTCCTGATCTCTTCGATTCATGGACAATCCTCAAGAGGATCGCCAACGAATCGCCTCCACAGGTATGTGATTCCATTCCTTTTACCTTCTTCAGTTTCTTTCTTGATTCGTGCATCAAAGTATCGAAAATCAAGTAATGTGTCTTGTTCTGTGTTCTTGTGTAATGTGCGAAGCTTTCTCATCTTCCAATTTAGGGGCTTTTTTTTTTATGTCTTGTTTCTTGGGGATTGGCAGAAGATGTTTTTACTTCTGAATTTTTTGTTTGTTTGTTTGTTTAATTTATCTGTAAGCTGTTTCTCGTTAGGGTTTTTGATTCTAGAAAAAGGTGGAAGCTTGGGTGATTTGGTTAACTTTTCCCGAAAAATTGCGTCTGAATAGAGGAGGGGAACATATTTTTTTAACTTGGGTGGAGGGTAGATTCTCAAATTATCAGTTCAGTAAAGCATATACTTTGACCCCTTTATACCCTTATACTTCTCTTTGTAAAGTTGGTTAAATATGTAATCTTGTTTACTTCTGAAATCAGTTGTTATCTGATTTTGATGATTCGCTGAACATATAAATTGTGGGTGCAGGGGAGAGACCTGTTAGGCCTGAAAATTCAATGGAGCAGGTACTTAAATATGAATCTCTTTCTAAATATGTTATAACTGTGTCTATCTGCATATACTTTTTATAAGAATAGGTGAATTTGTTCCGTTAGCATTTTATTTTGCAATTTATTATCAGCTAGTTTCGCCCAAAGATGAAAGGATTGTTTCAGCGAATCCTTCTCCAGATGCAGCCACCATTGGGCCTCCGAGGGGTGTCACTGAGCATTCAAGATCTTCGAAAGAAGGTGGAGATCTTAATGATTTCACTCATGAACAAAACATGCTATATGGGGGTTAGTTTCTTGATCCTGCTCCTGTGCTCCTGCTTTTCTTTTCGACTTTAGAAACCCAGCACTTTGCTTTCTACCATGTTGTAATTTTGACTAATTTTTTTGCCCCCTCAATTATGGAACTTTATGTCGTATTTTATTTTTTATTAGAACATCTGGTTTTTGTTATCATTATCTTTTGTCAATTTATTGGACAAGTGCATAGAACGTTTAGTATCTAATCAAGTTCAATTTATTTTATTTTATTTTATTTTATTTTTTTCTTGCTTCAGGTTATGGCAATACAACTGGTAGCTGGGATGGATATTCTCAGTTTTTTAATAACGAAGGAATACATATCCCTTCTGTAAGAATCATTCACTCTATGATTTCTAAAGTTTATTTTCTAGAAAAAAGCTGAGCGCATGACTGCCCTTTCTCTTTTTGGTTTGACCTGGATCAGGTAATCTACAGTGAGAATCCATCTGTTTTGTTCTCTTCTGGTTATGGCTTTCCTCCGGAAATGGCTTATGGTCAATTTTCTCCAGTTGGTACACCTCTACCTCCTGTAATGGTGGAAGGGCAGCTATACTCTCCACAGCAAATTCCATTCTCTCCAACTTATTACCCACAAGCTGCACCTTCAAATGTGCCTTCACCTGTTCCCATTTCACCATCTGAGCTTATGACACCAGAAAGTAACAATGATAACTTTCTTTTTGGGCCGGGACCTGGTTACTTGGTACAGCTTGGATCGTTCGGTGGGGGCAGCATACCTGGTAATCCTAGTTCTAGTTCTGTAACTTCTCCTGCTGCATATCCTCAAGCAATGGGCATTCTTGGTTCATATGAGCATAATGTTGGGCAGGTTTGTTCTCTTCACTTCAGAACATTGTCATAAAATGCTTTATTGTGTGATGATGAATGACAGCTCACATCAATACTTTTTGTGGTAGCCCTAGATAGAAGATGCCATTTCTGATTCTTTTTAGTTGAATAGTTCTCATGTAGGAAGTTTAGGCCAAGTACTTCTATGCCCTTAACCGAGATTTGGCCTAGTACTTTTACGTCTAATGTGATTGGCCTGTTTCTTTTGCTTGGTTATAATAGTGGATTTTTCAACTACAGAGACCTTTGCATGGATTTGGTTCATCATCCAGTTCCTCTGTTGGGCATTATCCTTATGGTGGCTCTTATCCAAGGTCTAACTTCAGCAGCTCATCCTTCCCTTATTTGGGGGCTAATGACCAGGCTAAATTCATTTTTGACAAAGGGAGAAGACACGAGAGGGACCAAGATTTGATTTACATTTCTAATGATTCTCATGGTATTGACCGCAATCGCGGACCAAGGGCTTCAAAGCTTAAGGCTAAGAGCACTAGTGAACATAGCTTTCCATCTGTTAATAGAAGAAATGATACGACCAAGTCAGGGCTGAAACCCAATTTGTATAACCATTCTGATTTTATTACTGATTATGAGAATGCAAAGTTCTTTATAATCAAGTCTTTCAGCGAAGACAATGTTCATAAAAGTATCAAGTACAATGTTTGGGCCAGCACCCCACATGGGAACAAAAAACTAGATGCTGCCTATCAGGAAGCAAAGGAGATGCAAGGAACTTGCTCTGTCTTTCTATTGTTTTCAGTATGTATTTTTCTACTTTTGTTTACCTGTTTTTCTCCTTTCATGGAGGTTACCGTCCATTGTTATGTTGTTGCAGTATGTATGTTTTTCTGTAGTATTGGGAGTATAGATTCCATTTCTTTATGTATCTGAATCCTATGTTTTTTGTGAATCTATGCATACCAAATTGTAGTAGACCATTTGAATTTTGAGGTAGTTGGTCTGTTGGAAGTGTGCTAAAAGATTTTTCTTTTTATCTACATTTCAGGTCAATGCTAGTGGGCAGTTCTGTGGGGTTGCTGAAATGATTGGACCTGTAGATTTTGAGAAGGATGCCGAACACTGGCAGCAAGATAGGTGGAGTGGGCAATTCCCTGTCCAGTGGCACATCATCAAAGATGTTCCAAACAATAGATTCCGACACATATTACTGGAAAATAATGACAATAAACCTGTTACTCACAGCCGAGATACTCAGGAGGTAAGATATTTATTTACCTTCCCAATCTTCAAATTTTATAGTATTTCACATTGTTTGTGGATTAAAATCTAGAGCAGTGTTCTCTTTCATATTGGTGAAATTGTCGGTTTGCCTATTGTGACTTGTATTGCTGATTGAATCATATCTGGGTGTGTAAAACAAAAAACAAATGAGTTTAAATGCTTCTGTCAGTCTTTGGTCTGAGGAATGGCCAAAGTCTAAGGCAATGATCGTAATCTTAGAAGGGTTTTGCAATTTCATCCCAAAGATCTAGACTGGAACGTGGATAATCCGATAATCTACTGTATATTGAAAGCACATTGTGATCTCTTCTTTTATATTGAAAATTTTCTCTTGTCAAAGTCTTTCAATCTTGAAGATAATCTGACAAGTTGAAGGGCACACATTTTCCAATTATTGTGCACTTTCCTTCTACCATTGCTGTGTTTTGATAGATGTGTTCTCTTGGTTTTGAAATATAATCAGGTGAGACTAGGGCAGGGTGTCGAGATGTTGAAAATTTTCAAGGATCATGATCTGCGTACATCCATTCTGGATGATTTTGAGTACTATGATGACTGTGAAAGAGCTTTGAAGGAAAGGAAGGCTAGACAGCAAGCTCACTCAACCACAGATGTGATATCTGATGATTCCATCAATCAAATGGCCAATAATCTTGCTCAAACCCTTAGGCTCCATGAGGACACTGTAGAAAATCAATCAAGTGAAGTTAGTGGTAGCTCAAGAACAGAAGATTTGCGTCCACTTGCCTGTGAACCCACAAACCAGACTCCTGATATGGGTAGTGAAACCAGAACTGAACCTGTGGAATAGATGAATGACAGTTGCATTGCGGCTAGAAGAAGCTGTAGGTATTGCAGGCGTCTTTTCATGCTTGCTATGACCTGACAAACTATTCGTGATTCCATAGTTCCATTGCTTGCTGACAACATTTGAGGTCAATATATCTTGGGTGGATCGGGTAGTGATTTGAAAGTCTGGTGTTTTTTTTTTTTTTTTTTTTTACCTGTGTCTTTGGGGGCAGTCTAGGAAACTTAGGTCTGCTTGAGCCAAAAGACAGCCTGATTCTTAACATTCGCTATGTTCTCTTTTGGGTTTAGAATTGAGGAAGGCAACAGCTTGGATGAATGTTATGGGACGAACTTGTACACTATGTGAGATGTTAGTCTTTGTTAGATTCTCGTCTCTCCGAGGGCTTTTGGGGGTTATTGAAGTATTTGTAAACTTTCCCATTTTGGGAAGCAGATCAATAAAATTACGAAACAGTTGCAATTTTAAAGAATTGCAGTGAAGAATCAGAAAGCAGAAGTAAACTTGTTTTCAACAGTTGGTGATTGTCATGGTATGCTATTCCAAGCCTGCTAAGTGCTGGAAAGCAGCATTGGCATCCAAATGCCAAAGATTGTTGAGGGACCATAACTTATAATCTCCTCTTCAATGTTAAACAATAATGTTCACATTCTTTCTCATGAATGTTCCAATATATATATATATATATATATATAATAATAATGTTCACATTCTGTCCATGGGGGATGCAATACTGCTGATACAACCTCAAATTTGTTATATTCCTATAAATTTTGAATGACATTATGAATGCGGAAATCAGACACGATTTCATTGCTCAGCAGTTCAGTTTCCTGGTGAAGCAGTAAAACTCTACAAATACAGTTGATTGCTTCAATGAAACTTTGTTCTGCTTCAATGAAACTTTGTTTTGCTTCCAAGGAACATAAATAACTATATAACTTAAAAAGTCCTTGAGTATTTCTTGATTTCATACATGATCGAAGAAATAGACACGAGATCCTTGTTTAGAGCAGATCCGCCAACAATCCTCTTTATGCAATCTGAGAGTCTCGTATAATAAAGCAGCAGCTGGGTCAAGGCAGCCCTCAAGATCTCCATTCCACACAAGAAGTTGCTGAAAGAAGTAATAACATCTTTGTGCATCAGCTCTATGGCGGCTTTCCATCTGCTAGCAAAGTCCTTCACTAGTGGTTCAACTTCAGCCACAGATATTGGTCTCTCAGAGCTTGAATTTGGGTCATCCGCTGACACATAAGTCACATATAAGTTCAATTTTCATAAGAGCTAAGCAGAAAGTTGAGATGCCACTTGTAAACCTATTCAAAATACTCACAGGCTCTGGTCTTCACAAACTTTATCAAGTCAGAGAAATGCTCCATCAGCAGTTCTTCCTGCATGGTGAATAAAATGATAAATATAAAACTGCTAATTAAATTACAACAGGTGGAGGCAAAGAAGCAACCATCCAACACACGTAAAACAATGGGTAAGAGCTATCTTTATGCACATAAGTATCTTAATCCACAAAAGTTGTTGCTTACAACAAATAATGCTGTATTGCTCTTCAGTAGTTCCTCAAAGTGCAGTTGAATTTTGCCACCCTCGGCACCAGCTTCCTGGAATGCTCAAAAAGAAAGAAAAATATGCCACTTCAGGTCTACAGTGACAGATCTTCAATAGATATTCTCTTCTCCTAGGAGGTTAAACTTTGAAGTTCAGCAATAGCAATTTTTTTTTTTTTCCTGAACTCTTTGTAGACCTGTGAATGAACTTTTAGCACAATCCAAAGCATAAACTAGTCTTTACCTTCAGTACAGCAATTGTCATATCATAGTTGTTTATAAGAAATACAATTTGTGGTTTTGGTTTTGGAAACAATTTCGCCAGCTTCATAAGCAGGTCATCAACTGCCATTCTCAGTCGTTCCATATTCAGTTCAAGCTGCAGATATTGAGAACCACACATTTTAAGCAATTATTATCATCAAAAGAGTTGTAGAAGAACATCTAAGGAATTCAAAATCCAAAATGCATTTAACCTGCCCATCTCCAAATTCAAAATTAAGGTGGATAAGAGAAGCTGCAAATTCTGCATAGCGCCTCATGACATAATGAGGATGGATGTCATCTTCCCACAACAGCTTTGGGTTTGCATTTCGTAGACTATTGAGATGCATGTCAAATACCATCTTAAACCGAGGCCACAGAGAAATATTAACCTGCTTAGATTAAGTTGATTGTTTTACAATCAGATTTGCCATTCAAAAGCTGAAGGCTTGTGATTGTTTATAATTATATCGACAAAGGATAATGATAAATAGAATTCCAAAATAAAACAAAAAACTGCCACCGTTATCCAAGATAGAATTCCATCAATGATTCCTCTAATTCTCATCCCTAAAATTTAAATACATCAAAACTTTAATTCAGTTTGTGTCTTTGTGATTTGTATGGCAATGCATATTGTTGCCACAGTAACCTTGTATTTGAGTTTATCGTGAAGTTCATTTCCATGGGCTCTTCACAGAAGCTGCTTATGAGATTTGGAAAGCATAAGAAATTACAAGTGGTTGTCTCTGAAACACATGAGAAGAAAAAAAAAAAAAAAGCAATTCACATATTATATAATCAGAAGATGACAGACCTTGTCTAGATATGAATCCAAGCATGGAATCCGCCTCCGTGACATAATAAGCTGAAAGAGGAGCAAAATTTGTAAGTAATAAACTGCTACTAGCAGGGCCACAGTGGGCTAAAGATATGGATGGAATTAAAAGCAATTCCAGTGTATACCATTCTGGTCACATAAAAAGCTGCATCAGAAATACTATAAAACAAGAGTTCAAATTATCATAGGCCATAATGCTCAATCCAAATTCAAGATCAGTGGAAAACATATTGTTTAGTTCAATTCTAGAAAACTTGTTTTTCTAATTCTTCCAATGTTGAAAGGAAAAAAGAATAGAAAATAAATTTCATTCTTGAATAGTGAAAGCTGCCCTTCCCTGACAGGAAAGTGAGCACTCTTGTACTAAAACATTAAATAAGCCTACTCCAGCTGGACAGATTTTCCATCCCCACAAATAAACCCATTACTGACTTGGACATTATTTTTGCCCAAGCCCAGCTTAACCAGTCTAAAAAACTCATTGACATATAAACAACATGCTTTATTCAATTATAATTTAAGACACATAGAAACACAACAATATTATCTACCAATTACCTGGTGCAGGTTTATTATGCGAATCATGAGCATCAGGCCAATGGCATCATAACTATTTGGAAGTACAGAATTGAAGTGCTCGTCAATGACAGCAAATGGACCTGAAGAATTGGCAGAAAAACGGAAATCACTGCAGCTTCAAGCATCTCCATACAATGACACCAAAAGATGTGATAAGGATGTTTAACCCTATGTGCTTTCCATTTTCAACACTAGATATTACATTTTCCCTTTTGCTAAGGGTTTGGCAATTTTACAGCTCATCTGATTTACAGATTTAGATTTTCAAGAGTTATAAATCCTAAGCACATGACAGTCGCTACTCATACTAGGGATCATACATAAAACATATTATAGCTCAAGTTTCCATCCAAGCCCAAAAGAAAAACTTTAGTGTCTTAGTTGGAATTAACATCTTACCAGCAAAAATTTCATAAAATATGGATTCTTCCCCGAAGAACGCATCGCAGAAAAGATACCTGCATGACCAGGAGAAAAAAGATCAAACATGAATCATGAATGCCAATAGACTATATACATTAGTGGATAGTCAGAATCAAAATCAAGAAGCAGAGCAACTATATGGTACTCAGAGGTTGCTGTATCCATTAGCAGCTTATGCAAACTCCTGAAGAGGACCTCATAAGGATACTTTAAAGAGCTGGCCTCAGCAATATGTGGAATTAGTGCTGGCTGATCAATTTCCTGAATGCAGTTAAACAACTTAAACCATGAAATCAGATTGTACATGAAAGAATTTATGCATGCAGAAACAAACATGCAAGCTTATTGACTTTCAATGAGATAATTTTAATGCTTTCATCCATTACCCAAGAGAGAGAGAGAGAGAGAGAGAGAGAAGAAAATTCCACCATAATGTCCAGCATCATGAAATGGAATCAAATACAGAGATGTGGGATGTTTTGTCTAAAGCAGGGACAAGTGCAGTATACTGATCTATTATTTTACCCTCTTCTGTGAAAAAAGAAAAGATCTAAAACCAAATGCAAAATGTAAAAATAGTACAAGAAGCAATCTTTTCAGAGAACCTTTAAAATGTTTATTCTATCCCTCAAGGCAAAAACAGCAGAACGATTTTTCAGTGGTTCTCTTCCCCTCGAAAATAGACTAGTGCTTCTGGTCTCTACACCAATTAAATCATAAGAAGTTGCTATATCTAACTGTAATTTCTCCAAAGCCTGAATATAAGCACGGAAATGGGCACTTAGAACCTGCAAGAGGCATAACAGCTATGTGTAAAACCAAAAACAGAAAGCAATAAAAGAAACAAGGAGAAATTTTTTTTTTTTTAAATAACAATAAGAAACTTGAATAAGCAACTTAGAATTCAAAAGGGATAAAAACAAAGTCAGAAGCATTCACCTTATTCATTGTGTCAATGTAGGCTGCACGAACTTCACCATATACCTCCTTGCTATGTTCTTTTAGGAATGAAATTACATACCTTAAATTTAATGTTAATTTCCATTAGATTATGGAATTTAATAATTAAAAAATAAAAAAGACTAAAAAAAAAAAAAAAAAAAAAAACCAAGGAGGAGATGCAAGAAAATGGCATCATGGTGGGTCAAGTAGTAACATAAGCAACAATCTTGCTGATGACAAAATAGAGAAACAGTAGAAAGGCAGGCTAAAAAAAGGAGAAAAACATGATACTTCACCAAACCCCCTCCTTGCAGAGGCTAGGAATCCCTTCATAGTTTCTGCAGCCTTTCTTTTTAGTTGTCATAAATTATGTCACTCAAATTGAGAAAAAAAAAATTAATCTTGCATTTACTATTATATTAATCATTTAATGTGATATAAGTACCATGCATAACACTAGGGACCCAATCAAGCCAAGAAACTTCAAATCAGAGTTATTCATTGGGTGCATCCTTTTCGATAAAAAATTTTGAATATACAAAAGGATTGCTTATATTTCAATTGCTGAAATAGATTTACATATCGTATCATTTAATTTCCAATATAATATATACAAGGTTAAGAAAATTGTAAAGACAGCTCACTTGTATTTTAAAAGAACATTTTGTTGAAGGATCTGGATGTTGGTTTTTGGTTTCCTCAGTGCATAAAGCTTTTGAACAATAAAATCAAACACCTGCAGAACAATAAATTCAGTAATTAGTTTAAGAAATCAGCAACAGATCATCAACAACTTATCAATTGACATCTTTCATTCCCCTGTATGAAACAAATCTCATTATTGCTATCAGATATGCTAAAGTTAAGACAAATCTGTAACACACCAAAGAAACAGCTTTTGAAGGTTTTGAAGACAGAATTTCTTTCCTAAAGATACATGATCACCTTAAGGAAGGGAAATCAAAGATGATAGCAAGCTTAACAGGTCTTGCTGAATTGTAGTAAGCGACCAGAGGTGAGTGAAAAGATCATCTATGGAAATTAAATAGGGTAAAATGAAATACATGCATGGTTATTAGCAGCACCATTACTTGTCCATCTATAAAATTATATGTACGATATCTTGGAGAAGGCCATATAAAACAAACGTACAAATTGGGGTAAGAGCAAAAGATAAACTTAAAGTTCAATGAGAATTTACCAACCCATTAAAACATGCTAAGTACAGTCAACAACCTTAGAAACTGCTTTCTGCCTGAGCTTTTCAAGCTCAGGTTGAACATCTCTTAGGGCCTTTGAAGCTTTCACCATGGGGTCTGCTTCAACAAACTTCAGCTTCTTGCTCATAATCTCAAGGGTTCTCATATATTCATCGTTGACCTAGATGTAAAATTCCATCACAAGTACATTAGAAACAATGAAAGAAAGGAAAAGTAGAAACATTACATTCCAAAATTCCATGATTATAAACTAGGAAATTTTAAATTAAAGAGACAGGAAAAAACTTAAAAGGAAAGGTCACATGGCTGCAGGTAAGAGCTAGATCAGCAGTCACTCATGGCATACAGTGTAAACTTATAGCTTACAACCTTTTAAAAAATAAATGAATAAGAAGAGCATAAAGAAATATGCACCTAGACAAGAAAGAGAGAAGCTCAAACATTTATTTCTGATGCCTTTTCTTAAATATGGTGTCTATCAAGCTCAAACATTTTCTTTCTTAGATCTGGTGTCCGTCAGGCTCAAACATTTTCTTAAATTCTGATGCTTCATCTTAGCTGTACTTGATCAGACAGAATGGAGGGGCAGGACCAAAGGATCAAGTAGCTGACCCCGACAAGTTTGAGACTATGGTTTAGTTAAGTTGTATTTGAACACTTGAAACGAGTTAGACCATACATATAACTTACTTTGAGTTATATTTCTTCCTAAAATCCCAAGGGTCACCACAGAAAGAGGACACCAAAAAAAAAAAAAAAAAAAAGAAGAAAAAGAGAAGAAAAAAACCACAAATACCTCTCCATCAACAATTATGTCAACCATTCTTGGAGGGACAATAATATCTTCGACAAATTTTGCCAGCTTTGATTCTGCTACCTGTTTAAAAAACATTGACCGTAAACAATAGTATTATATATGGAACAAATGAAAAATAGAATTGAAGAGGAAGAACATTAATGTTCAAAATTTTAAATGACACTAGCATGTCTGCAAGACATCATCCGGTTTGAATGACAAGCCATATTACTTATTTTGTTTGGTTTATTGGGATTACCACAGAAAATTGAGGATTATAAGACATGAATATGAATATGGAAAAATATTAATTAGCATCCACAACATGGTCTGTTGACATGATAACTTAAGCAGTAGAGAATATAGATATCACCAACAACTTATAATGATAATTTAAAAGCAAAATTGTTATGGATGCACTGGAACCAAAAAAAAAAAAAAAGTACAAACTATCAGATTGTTATCTATGATATTCAACTGCAACAAAAGGAATAAAGTAAAAATTTATGAAAAACTCTGGATAATGCTAGCCCATGGAGTCCTTTAAATTACACCATGCACCCCAGGGCAGAGAGAAGGAAGTGAGAATTGAAGTTTCTCATGAAAATTTTGATGTGAAATTACAAGACAATAATTATTTACATCCAAAGTATCAGAATACCAATAATATGTTATTTGCAAACAACAAGACAACAGATACTTTTGTGGGAGCCTCATACCTTTCGATTCTTGAGTTTCAGACCCATGTCCATTGATTTCTCTTGGAGAATTTTTATGTCTGAACTTATAGAACCAATCTCAGCCTGGCACAAAACTTTTGAAATGAGATGAGAGAATCAAAACCCTCATCACTAAAATTGAAAAAATAAGAATGTCAAAGATTAACTAACAAGTTGTGAGAAAAAGAACAAAAATCCAACTTTCATTAAATGAACTCTCCTTTCTTGCTACTTTCCCAGAAGCCTCTGCTAAGGTTCCACTCTCTAAGTTCTTATCCTCTTTTCTTGCTATTATATTTTTAAAGAAAAAAATTATTTTTAAAGAATTGTTTCTTCATTCAGCTATTAACCCTAAACTGCTTTCTCCACAGACAAAATACCTAAAAATCCCCGTTTTAACCAAACACACAGACAAAATACCTAAAAATCCCCCTTTTAACCAAACACACACACACACACACACACTAGTTTATCAGTGCTAGCCACAATTGACTGCGGAGCAAGCATGTCAATCTATCAGTTCTGCACTACATCAAAGTTTCACATTAACAACTTACTTCGGATTTTGCCAAATTTTTTATGAACCATAAAGATGTTTCATAGAGCATGAATAGCACCAGCTAATCAGATCACATTTCACTGTCTTTACCTGAAATCCACTAAGAAGGGTCTCCATCTGTGACAAAATGCTATCACATTCACAGATTTGATCATGGAGAGAGACTTGATTATCACTTTCTTTAATATACTCCTGTGTCATAGTAACAGTTGTAATATATCAATAAATAGTTCAATATCATAATAATATTGGCAACCTGAAAAATAAAATTAATTTGGATTTCACTTTCTATTAGGTCTATAAACTAGAAAGGCCTGGCAAAATGTCAACCTATGTTTTTATACTACTTCTCTTTTAGAAGAAATAAATATGTAACGTACATATCATGCATCACACTATCAAAATGAACAATCTAACAAGTTTGCATTAAAACACTACATTACAAAGAAAGCACTAACCAATTCATGCTGCACACAAAAAAAAAATAAAAAATAAAAAATGCTTAAAGTAGAGAAGGAATGACACATTTGGAAGCATTTATGTATTGTCTAGAATGTAGAAAGAACTAAGTCAACATGAAGAATTTCTGAAAGTATCAACAAACCTGAATTGAATCCAATTCAACTTGACGTAGGTTGTTCTCTACTCCCTTTGTGTGCTCCCTTAGTTTTGTTCCTTTAGACAAAATGTTCACAACTACCTAGACATAAAACCCACAACAGCCCATTTCAGGAAACAGGGTTCACTACTAAAGAAGAACAAAAAAAGAAATTCATTCCCTCTACTAAACTGTGGTGCAAGGTTAGTTTAGATAGCCTGGAAAGCAGAAGAACAGTGAAGTTACTTACATCATCATTTATACATTCTTCCAATTCTTGCTGAAGCCCCTCCAAGGATACATCATCACTACCAAAAACAACCAACCCATTTTTCTCAGGGTGAAGTATTCAGATTAAACAACCCACAAATCAGAACTTAATTTACTTGCAGATCAACAGAAATATCAAGGAAACAAGAACAGGGAATCAGTCTAAAGGAAAAACAAAAATTGCAATCCTCCATTGATAACTGGAAGCTTACCAGGTGGCATCCTCCTCAAAATTCAAGTCCCCAACAAATGCCCCTATATCAAATACATTTTTTGGGGTCTCAATTGTCACCCCATAAGCATTATCCTGAACAGATTGACAGAAAACAAAAAGCTTCCATTAAAAATCTTTTCAAGCAAATGAACAAACCTAAAAACAATCTGAATTTGAAGTACCACTTTGTTTGCAGCAACATCAGGCATCTTGTTCAACCCAATAGCTCTGTACATTCAAATCAAATTGAATAAAAATAAAAATGAGATACAACAACACATAAAACGGATTCCACAACGGGAAAATTGATGCAAACGGATTGAAAGAAAAGTGAGCTGAAATCTCATCAACGGCAAACCTAATCGAATGAATTCAGATCGAAATTCGCTCAGCACATGATACAGAAGAAGAGATCTGCAACTACTGCTACTACTGCTAAACGCGCAACGACACTAGCTGGTTTTCTTTCACTTTGCATGGTGGGAATAAACAAATTGGGCTGGTTTTTGTCTCTGGACCTACAAATTGGGTTTGGCCATTGTTAATATGTGCACCGGACGAGCCCACTTTTTTTTGGTACTATCAAATTTGTAACCTTTGTATTTTTTTTTTTTTAATTTAGAAAAGTAACTAACCAATTTTCTTCTGAAGATATAAATTTTCTTAAAAATATTTTTGAGTTTAATCTTATAAATAAAAAATAGACATTAAAAAAACTTTTTCTTTATAAAATTTGACTCAATTAACTTCAAATTAACGAACGCTACCATAACTTTTTGAATATCAAATAATAATAATAATAATAAAATTCTTATAATTATTAACAAAGCCAATTTACTAATATTAAAAAGCTCATTTTTCCATCGGCAGTTAGAAAATGTACCTTCTCTCTTTTTTTTTTTTGTCATTAACTCATTACATTACATCAACAATGTGTTTCAAAATTACCACAAATAATTGAATGCCCTAGTATTGTTGTTTTATTTCTTGAATGTATTGATGTTGGAGAAATTAATTTTGTTTACGAATTAAGAGATTCCAAACCTTAGTGGTTGACTTGATTGTGGTCAACAGTAAGGTTATGTTTGTTTCTAGATATTCTAACATCAATCATATACCATGATATCATGATATAGTTTTTGCTTGGTAACATGGTAGCTACACTAAAATTTCCGTATCCCATTCTGCTTTCCTTTAGAATCAACATTTCAGTCTAACTGAGCCGTAAATCTCTATGTATTTCCCGGCTGTGTTGTTCCAGCTGTTGTCTATTTTCATGATCTTTTGTACAATGCCATTCCACTCATCTGGTTCTGCAACATCAGATCAACAAAGAAGATGATTGATAAACAAATTTTTGATGTATATGATGGACTTTCAACTGTGCCAAGGAGTTCCAGAAACATATTTCAGGTTGCCAATCACTATATATGCATTAGCCAAATCACTATGGTGGACTGAGCCTTTTGATGGTAGGAAAATTAATGACAGAAAGGTAATTAAAATTGAACTTACTTTCTCTGTAATAAGCAAATGCACGATCAAGAGCCCAATTCAAGGATCCTTCATCGATTCCTTCAAAAGTAAACCTATGAGAAGGAAAATGAAACGGAAAAGGTGGCAAAAAAGAAGTAGTAGAAGTTAGATTGGTGATGACAACATTCAGGAAGGAGCTTAATGTCTTTAAAATGGTTAAACAAATTTCAAACTTAGAGCTTAAAACCATCTGTTGAGTTCCTAATATCATAATATCATGGGTTTTTAATACATTTTGAGCTTAAGAAACAAAAAGTAGAACTTCGAAGGTAAGGAAAGAAGAAAACAAATACCCATTGGCCTTATCACGGTTTGCTTGGTCATCTATGTCGAATACAGTGTCTGCAAGACCACCAGTCTTTCTAACAACTGGAACCTGAAAAAGTTATTAACTTATTATAATCCAGGAGAGTTTAATCACATGGTTGGTAGCATACTGATCATTAACTAAATTTTAAAAGAGAAGAATTGTGTGAAGGAATCATGTGTAGTGCATACTGCCCCATAGCGCATTCCAAGCATTTGAGCAAGGCCACACGGCTCATATATGGAAGGAACTAGCACCATATCTGCTGCAGCATAAAGCATGTGGGACAGCTCCTCACTTCATATATGGTAAGAAAAACAGATACAGTAAGCAACTCGTTACAATGTAGTGCAATCTCCTCAAGGAAACATAGGTATATTAAAAATTACATAATCTCAGTCCAAGGTGAATAACAAGCTTTCACTCTTCCTTAACAGTTTGTAAGCCAAAGTATGGAGAAATAAGCAGTAAAAGAAAAAGGTTCAAATAGCCAAGTAGACATGGGTCGTGTATACCATATAGGATGAGAATGTTGTTTTTAAGTCCATCCTCCACTTAATAAATCAGTCCGGGGTGGAAAAGGACAAAAATGCCATTAACGAATCTTCCTCCTGCATAATTGATTCATAAAGGGTATTTTCGTCTTTTAAAATCCTGGAATGATGTTTTTGTTGTAGGGCAGACTGTAAAAAACATATCTGATATGGGAAACAATGAATTTTTTCTTTGCTTACCAAAAGCCAGGTGTAAGGCAAAATGGAGTGAGAGAAGCTTTAACTGGCTTAATGATGCAAAAAATAGCTAGTAGACGATTAGTTCAATGGGGTTCAAAGACAATTTACCTATACATTAATAGGATGCGGACATTAGGACCTTGATTATGCTACAAAACGAACAAAGAAGAAAACAAAACTAAAAATCAGTTCTTTTCACTTGCATTCAGAAGATAAAAAGGTTGCGTCTGACTTACAAACAAAATGATAAAAATTAAAAAGTTAATCAACTTCCCAGAGTGATATCAGCAGTTTGTGTGTGTTGTGTAAACATTAAATGCTTCAAGACTTAAGGTCAGCCAAAAACAGAAGATCTATAATATATAAAAAGGAAAAAGAACAGCATTTAAGATGTAAATGTGATGAACCAAAATCAGACTCTTTTTACATCAAAGAAAGTGGAATAATCAACAACTTAGAATCTATAAAAGATCCATGGAACCTAAGTAAGTTTCAGGTCCTTTACCAGATTTGCAAGACCTTCAAATTCATTTTGAACCCGACCATCTGAAGCTGTTCCAAGAACCACTATCTGTCCACCCTGAAAGTGAATCCAACATGAGAGTGGCAATTTATCAGAATCTTAATGAGAACTCAGCCGGAGAGTTTAATTTTCTATCAGTCAAATTTAAAAAAGCATCTGATTTGCTGGTGTTTTTAGTAGAGGTAAATGTTTTACAGATCAATGCTTCCCATATGGTAGCCTATCAAATTCGAAAGACAACTCTTCCAGCTAATACAAAAATGTTTCAGTTTGGTTTGGCTAAAAGAAATATCATGAGATAAGAAAACTTGCTAACAAAAATATACACGCCATAATCTTTGATTGGTCAGAACATAAGGCACAGCCAGCCCTGGGACTTCAAAAGAATCGTTAAATTATGTGACAATAAACAACAGAAGGAACAAGACTCAGAGACAGGCCAGTTAATGAACAAAGAAAGAATTTAGAATATTCAAATAACTTACAAGCTCTTCAGTCCGCTTAATTGCATGAGTAATTAGATGAAGACCCTTCTGAGCAACTAGTCGAGTAATACAGACAATCAGTGGCACCTTCTGTGGTTTATCTAGCACTTGGTGACCAGCCACAGTACTTTCTGGAGCTAAACCAAGCCCTCTTTGAACATAGTATTTGCATATCTTCTTTCCCTTGGGTCTTTCAGCTGCATGAACGAACATAAAAGAGTAAGAAAAGAGAAACCTACCACATATGCAACTTAAAATTGAGGAAATATAGTTTATGTTCTAAAAAGAGAAGTATTTGTGCAGTAATTTTCTTAACAAGTAAACCAATGGGACTTTGGTTAAAAATTAAAAAAGTAAACCAATGGGACTTCGGTCAAAAATAAAAAAAGTAAACAAATGGAACCTCAAATTAAAAGCTAAAAGGGCAAAAAAGAAGGATCATGACTGAAAGCCTTACCATGGAACTTAGCAGGCAAGAACACATCAATAGCAGGGTTCCACATATAGGCATCTATGCCATTAAGTATGCCAAAGTACCTAGAGGAAAATTTCATATTTTGTTTAAACTCATAAAGCACAACTGAAAAGTTTTACATGTGCAACCATGGAACCACAAACAGATTGATTTTTTTACCACAGAGAGCACAAGATACGGATAAAGAATCCTGACAAAATGCTCAGGGGTTGGAAATTTTGCCCATTTTCCTACATGTTGATAAGAGAAAGGAAGCTAATTGCACTGTTCTTGTCATATATGTTCTGATTTCTGAAAACTATCCAGAAAATGGCATTATATTCATCAACAAAATCTTTGTAGGAAGAAGGAAGAGAAAGGGAAGTTGTATTACAAATAAAATATAATCTATCAGTGGTCTACCGTGAAGGAAGGATATGGATAGAGGCAACAATGAAAATGAATTAGCTCATATAAATTAGCTATCAATTATAAAAATATTTTTACAAAACTTAAGATGTCAGTAAGGCCCTGTCCCACAGCTCCAAAACCTAAGTGGC